TGAGAGGTCATCGAGATTTTCTTCGGGTCAGTGACATCTCCTACCTTTCATTCCTTTGGATTTTTAAAAATAAATGTTCCCTTTTGAACTTTCAATGTCCAATCGTGAAAAACTTATACTTTGAAATTATCAAAGGCAAAACCATTGATCTAAATCGAGAGTATTCTTAAGCAATTTTGATCACTTAAGATGTAATTAACTATATGAGTTTGCCTCTATAGGGAGCTTTGGAACCCAACTCAATATGAACCATATTTAATCTTCTATATTAAATAGGAGAATTTGTTGGTTAACATGAATAGTTTCACAGACTAGAACAGATGTCATAGATTCTATAGTTTATTTAATTGAGTCTCACTATAAAAAAAGTATCCATTCCTTGGATTAGATGCATCGCTTGCGGTATTGTGCTCGTTTATTTAAACTATTCAATATATGAGATTGGTTTGGTCTCGTATTTTTTAAAATTAAAATGCTACTTTTCAAAATTATATATATATATTAAATTAAATTATATTTTCAAAACTAACAACACCATGTTTGGTTGCCGACAACACCCAAACCCGTCAACCAGTTGAAGATGTTGGCAACGAAATAACGTTGACTGGAAGGTGAGCCAAGGAATAATATGTGGGAGAAGAAAATTGATAAGAAGTCAAAGCCGTTCGAGCGACTAGAGCAAGAAAATCATCAGATTTGATATGAGAGGCTCTAAAGAAGGGTTAACCCAACGATGTGAAGGGGTTGAGTGGTTCAACATTTGGTTCATCGACTGTATGTGCTCCTCAATTGATTAGTGTACTAGAAATTGGTGGAGGTGATCAACCGATCATAGAGAAAAGAGTTGTCGATGATCTTTCATCACTGAATGTAGATGGAGCCATTTTGTCTGAGGTGGAGAGGATCATGAGTACACGTTTCTATTTCTTTGAGGGATTATTTTGATTTTTTTTTCTTCTAGCATATTAATTAATTCTTGTTTCTTTAAGTAGATGAGGATGCCCAAATTGGGGTTTTGCTTCCTGTTAGTGACGACTGGGATCACACTGTGGTGACGACACTTGTTACTAAGTACCATCCGGAAGTGAGGAAAACATATTCAACCACCCATTTGATCCAATGGAGATCCACAAGAAAGTGGTCGAGGAACACAGGTTTTCTCCGAGGACATTGACCTATTGCTTTGATGAAATAGATGTTGCTCAAGCTCAGTGAGAGGTGGATCTCCACGGCATGCTAATCCAATAAAGGAGTTGCAAGGGGAAAGAGCTACCCTTGGACGAGAAGTATCTGAACTTCAATAAGATGCCTTGTGCAGAGCTCCCAATCTAAGGCCAACCGAACAAATTAGTTCATGTTCGATAGTCAAATGTTGTATAGGTTATTAGTTAGAAAGGGCCTTGTTCTAGCCGAGGCAGTCGAGACCAAAGAACCTCCTATCGTACTAGAGTCTGAATGTAATCATTTTTTTTTAAATATTTATTTTATTTTCTTCTCAGTTTCTGCGTTAATGTGATATTTTCTCTCAAAATCTTCATGCGACGTTTCCACTTTCTCTACATCCCTATAAATAAGGGTTGAAGTATTTATTTGGGTGCTTGTTGTCTTTTCTCTGCTTTCTTGTCATTCAATTTCTTCTCTTTTATTCAACTTTTCATTCGTTTGAACATTCCTCTCATTTTTTGATGGCTTCAAAGCACACTTCTCAAACTTTTGGTTGGTAGTTGGGACCGAGCTATCGGTTTGGTCTCCGTCGATGATAGCTTTCATGATGGAGGTCTTTATTTTTATTTCACTGTCAAGTTTTGTGTTGGTCATCTAGATGTGAGGGTGATTGGTTGGTTCAATGATAAAATTGTTGTTTACAGAGACCAGTTGAGATATGAGTTGATGCTATCTCTATTCCATGAGCTTCAGGTGATTTTCAACCAATATGGGGTTATCCAAACATAGATTAAGCTGAATTCTATCATGAAGATTATGACCTGCATATTTTTTTTGCCATTTGCATGAATTATATCCAAGCATAACTGATTTTTCTGCTGAATGATAATTATTTTGTTAGTTACTTTAGATATAGCAGAGGTTAGACTGATTGGTCTAAATTAATCCCAAGTGACCTTTTTCTAATTTTTTTGAACTAGGATGATAGTGGCAGTAATGAAATGACCTTGAATTGCTCTAATCATTTCCTTTCTAATGATAAGCCAACTTTTTAAATAAAAATTAGATATAAAAACATCAAGCTTTGCTGGTTAATTACAATCTATGCTTTTTAATGCATATAAAATCTCATCCTCCTCTGGCATGATACAAAGGCTTGCTAATATATTCCCTCTCCTCTCTAAATATATCATAATTAATTGTAGTATCCAACTCCTCAGAAGAGAATATACTAATGAAATAATCAACATCGCTTTCCCCAACTTTCCTTGATCAGTAATATAATGCCCATTGACATCTTTAATTCTTAGAATAGTGTTTTGGTTTCTTTTATTTTTGATACAAGCATGGAAATACTTTGTGTTTCTGTCATTGTCTTTAAAGTGGGTCTCCCTTGATTTCTGTTGAAGTAACTCCTCCTCCCATTTGATAGCTTGCAGCTGTTCTTTGTGAGCCTCAGTTTTTTCCTTCCTCACTAGACCCCCTCCCTCATCCAGTTCTTCCTGCTGCTTCACCCTTGCCTCTTATGAACTACTTTTTTTGTGTGCATCCCCAAACGCTTCCCAATTCCAACTTCTTAAAGTCTTTGCCACTTTTTTATGTAGCTACCAAAGTACATACTAGTCATTGCTCACAATATTATATTGCCAATTATCTTTGACCACCCTTAGGAAGTTATGATGTTTTGACCAAACATTTAAATACTTGAAATGATATTTACTAGATTTTAGGAAAAGAGCCACAATAAAAGAAGGGTGGTCACATAAGGGTTTAGGGTATTTATATACTGTAGCTATTATGCTTCATTGAAATCAATATAAGTTAATTGCCACATTACCAATTAGCTATTTCTTAAGGTTCAAAATTTGTTTTGGTTGATGCCACTTCACAATCTTTGAATTTTAAAAAATATTGGTATAATGTCAATTAAAGCAACTTAATCATCTATACCTTTGAAAAGGAGAATATAAGGTAGAGTTTTGTTAGTTAAAATAATTGACCAATAAGGCCCACTAGTCAAACAAATTCAATGGCCTAATGAGGTTTCAATACATTGGCTAAAATTATATAAAGGTTGCTTATATATCATTGCTAATTTAAGTGTATTTACGACACTTCTAGAGTTATACAAGCTCTAACATCATGGCTCTAAGGACTTGCGCATCTTGAAATCATACCATGCTTTGCAACCTTATAAGGTTCTCCATTTCTTAGTCCTTTTTGGAAATATTTGAAAATAACAAGTTCTATGGCACTATACATTTCTGTCATTTTATTTAACTATTTTTTCATATTTATATTTTAGTCTTCCCATTCATTATGAGAGCTACAAAGGCATAATAACATCATTGTTACTTTCATCATTTATAAAATTATTATCCACCTATTTATAAAAGCAAGATGAAACTGCTTGAGTATCCTTGTGCTTTTGTTAGTGTCTCTTTATGGATATTATAAGATTTATATTTATGGTCATTTCACCCCTCTCGTGGAGAATGAAGTTAACATATGATATATTACACCACAATTCCAAATAGGGGCACTTACATACATACCACCTAAGTCCTATGTATTTACATACCTAACACCTAAACCTTAATGTTACATTTATATCATCCAAATCATTCATATCACATAAAAAAACCACCATTTTAACTCTTAAAATGTGAAATACCCCTTTTCATGCATAGGCAAAGTGACAATTATGTAAAAATTGATTTTTGGGTGTTAGAAATGTACGTACATAGGAATTGTATGATATTGAGGTAGAGTAAAGGCTAGCGTAGAACAAAATTATATATATATATTTTTCTTCAGTGGAATCAAAATGGTGAAGGCATCCTACAATTTAGTTGCCTTAGAACATCGAGAATTTGTAATTGGTTAAAGCGACTTCTTCATATTTGCCTTTGAAAACAAGGCTAAGATACAATATAGTTTCATTAGCATATTCACTTCTTAGAGCAAATAATGATGATCATAGGTTATAATGAATTTTCAAATGTTAACTTTATAGAAGCCAAATATGTCAAAGCTATATCAAAACCTTAACCCAAATTTTGTGAATGCCAATACTGGTCAAAGAGATCTCACCCTTTTATGGATACTAAAATCTATTTTAAAGTTATTCACGATGTTACCTTTATTTCATAAAAAAAATTGGTGCGAATGAGTAACATTTGATCCTTGGATTCGTTAGAGTTCAACGAGCTCGTTACTCATTAAACTATTTGAAATTTGTTGGTCTGAAGCGCTATAAAATTGAGTAAGGATCATATTTCACGTAAATTTATGTCACTCTTTTTTCTTAATTTAGTTTCCATCCACGAAACGAAATCACTGTCGTTTAAATTCATCGAAGAGCTTTGACGAGTGCAACAAAACGTGCTAGCACAACTCAAAATTTCATCACCACAAATATGATAAATAACAGATAGGAATAATTACTTGCATAGCACCCAAACATCGTTATTTACAAAATTTAGCACATATATAAACTTTTTGAACTATCAAACATATATTTATTTGAATAAAAATGAAGAAAAAAATGATTTGAAATTTATCATGAATTTTGTTATTTGAAAGTGCCCAACCCTACACTCCCGCATAGAATCTTCTGCGCGCAATCTATGTACAGAACCCTTTAACACTGGCGCATCTCGAAATGTCTCTCTCTCTCTCTCTCGTAGGAAAGATTATTCTATACGGACAGACGGGTGTCCGATCCTGACCGTAAATCAGGTGATTTAATTGATGGGCCCACCTAATTTTTTTTTTCTTAAAATTGAAATATAAGCTGACCGTACCGTACTCAATAATTTCTCCTCTCTCGTAGATATAAGTTCGTTACACGGGAACCCGCGCGCCGTGCCCCCGTCTCCTTTTTCCGCTCCGACTCTAGTTTTTGTGGAGAATGGCGTATCGTCGGAGGCGCCCGACTCCACGGGCCTCCACTTTCGAGGACTTTAGCTCCTCGTTTAACTCCCGCGGTGTCGATTCCCCTGCTTCCACGACAACTACACTCTCCACCCAGGCAATCCGATCTCCCGGCGCTCACCGCGAATCCTCCCTATTATCCGCCAATGTAGACCCCTTGCGCCAGACTTCCGTCTTTTTCAATCAGGTCTGTTTTCTCCTGTTTTCAATCCTCCATTTCACCATTTGGATGTTTCCGTGATTCGTTCGGGAGGTTTTTCTGCGGGGATGTGTTTGTTGTAGATGATTAGAGAATAGAAAGAGTTTGGTAGACTTGAGAAATCTCTTTAGATTGTTGAGACAATGGAATTGGTGTTTCGGTGGTGCATTTCAGCATATCTGATTGGTTCTCTGTTAATTCCAATTGAATCTTGGGCGTTAAGAAGAAATGAGTCATTGACGAATATACATTGGGATTTTTTGATTCGCGTGCTTTGATAACTGAGAAAATGTGGAAGGATTTGAGATTTTCTTTTGTAATCTGTTAATTAACATCTTTATTGATGTTAGCAAGTCAATATCAGAGAGAAATATCCACTCGGAGTTCTATCATTTTTTCTTTGATTGAAGTCATAAAAGAATAAAGTCACTACCATTCAATCAATTTAATTTAATAGCTAACGAAATTATATGCCATTCACTATTGTAAATATTTCATTCTAATCACAATTATTATACACAAAGGCAAAAAAAAATTGCTATCCTAGTTAATTTTTTGTTTTTATTAAATTAAAATTAAAATTTAAATATTTAAAAGATATTTAGATTTTGTCTTTAAAGATTAGGGCCAATTACTTGCTAGCTAGCAAAACATTGCTATCTACAAAAGTAGCACCCTCTTTCATCCATAAGAAACTTATAAGTGACTTGCATGAAACTCAATAACTTGTACTAGAACTGACTAAAGCCTTCTACTTACGTTTGCAATCTTAATAAATTTGAACTGGACTTGAACTGGATGCGAAAATGAACTATGGGATTCGTATTTATGACCATAATAATGATAGTTTATGGGGCTTTTCTCACTAAAATACAATCATATAAAAATAAATTTTAGGACACCTTAAAGCACATGTAGATTCCAATTTGTAATGCTTGCTATAAGAGTAACGACACACACATGTAAGCATACAGTATGATTTTCTTATGTTAAACATGAAAAAAAAAAAAAATTATGTGTATTTTTTATTAACAAAAACATTTGTTCAAGCTGTCTAAATTTAAAAAAGTATTAAGCCGCCTATGTATCTCATGAGGTAGTTTATAATTCAAATGTAATATTGTGAAAATCGTGGAAGCACAACGAACACAGTTCGCAAGTGTCTGAACAAATGTATTATATACTTGAAAATGAAGTTAAAGAATATTGTGTGGAATAAAGATAAATTAAACTTAAATATGTCCCACTCTAAAAGATGTGCAATCATCCTGAAACTATATAAATTCTCTCTTTTAAAATTAAATTCTTCAACATGCATGCATGCTCTCAAGCAAGTTGTTGTGCCAATAGGAAATGATTGTAATTTCCACTTTTTGTGTTCAATTCCTTATGTCAATACATAAATAAGCGAATTCGATCCTCTACAAGAAAGCATATAAAGCTAAGAAGTTCCAAAGCTATAAAATAAAATAATTTAAAGTACCATAATGGACCACCTGACCCTAATTTCAAAATACCTCTAAATCCGAACACTGATCATACCCTACTCTCAAAATACCTCTAAATCCTAAAGAGAAATCTATCGCTTAAATTCAAGAGCACATAATCTATCCATCTTCACAACATGTTCGTCGAGGAAGTTAAATTTAAGATAAACCTAAGCTCATAATATATAAATATTATATCAAGCACATCTCTATATTTATTTTTGAAAAACTTATGATGTGTTCTCTAACATAATGATTTTGCTCTTAAATGACATCACAAAAATATTATTATAATAGGACTATAACCAAGTGATTTGCCTCAAAATGATGCCATTAGATTGTGGTGATGGCTAAAGCTCGTAAATTCTATAATGACCCAGATTTTTTAAGTGGGGAATTATAAAGTGCTTTTGATGTGACACTATTAGCTAAAGTCGACTTCAAATTATTTTATTAACAAAAAATCCACCATAAGTCTACAAGGGTTTCTTAGACGAAACAATGACCGGATCAACTAGCACCACAAGAAACTCAACATATACCACCAGTTGCTACTATGGAATCTCAATCTCACCAATCAATGGTGATGTCTAATGAGAGTATAATGGATTGAGTGAAGGACCAATTTATGCAAAATCACCCTCCTACTATCAATGGTATGGCGGACCGGATCGAGTCAGAAGTGTCACTTAATGATATCGAGAAGAGACTTCGAGACATAAAGTGCCTTGAAGATTATAAGATATACATTGTCACATTTCAACAACATCAAGGAGCTACGATTGGCGGGAGAGTCATCATTGCAGTACCGTTGGAATTGATTCAGTAATCTCTTGGATAGATTTTGAGAAATTATTTTTAGAGTAATACTTTTCTATGGTAGACCGTGCCAAGCTGATGAACAACTTGAGAAAACTGGAGCAAGGATTGAGGACTGTTCAAGTATGAGATGCAATTTGCCAGGATCATCAGATTCGTCCTTACTGATATTGTGGACGCAAGAAATCAAGAGAGAACATGAGAGAGAAAGGAAGCTTTGATGGCTGTAAAAAGAGGAGGTTAAGCTCGATGCTCTAAGTTCAGTAGCTCATAAATAACAAAAAGAGGTGGTGGGCGAGTGTGGGAGAAGGTCAGTTCACACAAATTTGATGAATCAAAAAAAGTGAAGAGCAGTAGAGGAAGGAATTGTGTGAATCGTAATATCAGGGAGGGAAGTACAACGAGAAAATTATGAGTAAAGCGGGGATATTTTAAACAAAAGTGGCAGTGAATGAGAAAGGAATAAATTTCACTAAGATTTGCAAGGCGGTGCGAGAGCGAGCATAATAAGATAAGGTTTCAGTTCTTACAGTTTGAACCATGCCATGACTTCTTCATTTATTATCATCCTCATTTCATGGTTTCGGACAAATTTAGGCATTCCAACTGTGCTCAGCTTTCCAAATCCTCAGACCTTTTTCATATATTTTGTTTATCTTTAAATTTCGTTCTTTTATGCTCCATCTAAGAAAACTGAAATGCAAATGCAGAATCCTTTTCACCATGAGTACTCATCTCTCAGATGTACTAATGAAAAGGGTGCGAATGAATCCAATTATGGATTTTGGGGTGTTCTTGCCAAAAAAGTTAAATCTCTCCTTGAAGATGATAGTGCTTCACAACAATTTAATGGCCATAGTAGAAACGAGTTTCAAATGCTTTCCACATCGACGGATAGTCAGGTGAGATTTATTATTTTTGTAGTTGTTATTTTTTTTTTAGGATAATTGAACATGTTCCCCCATTGTGGGAAATTTTGAAGTTAGAATCAGTTTTCCACATCAAACAAAGTTCTGTGGGATGAAAAAAAAACTTGGTATTTTAGCTTCCAGGAAGTAAATTAACCATGATCTGGTTCATGCTCTACGATGAATGATCTCCCCTTGCATGTCTCTCTTTTTCTACAGGATAAGAAAAGCATGCTTATGAAAATTCACTCTGCTTATTGCAGTTCAATCAGCCTAATTTGTCTCCTCAGAACTTCCAAAAGGCTGAAAATCTTGCTTCTTCCCTGAATCAAATTGGTGGAACGATTAAAAGTGCCTTTGAAGTAAGTGTTATTGAACCTTTTTCCCATCATTCTTTATCCTACAAGTGCTCTTGAATTATCATTGGATCTTTTACTGCAGTCATTTCTATTCTCATATTCACATTTTCCATAAATTAAATAGATTTGTGGCTCTCATATAACAGAATATTCATTATTATAGATTCACAATGTATTTTTGCTGTTGCATGTCACTGATCTTTCTTTTTAATTTTGTGCTGGTGGATTTCATGAGAGATCTGCCGTTTACAATATTTTAACTTTTCTCAGGAGGGTTTGGCGGTCGTCGAGAATAGGGCAGCTGACATCATACAGGAAACAAAGAAAATTCAAATTAGGAGAAAAACAGCCGGTTTTAATTCACGAGGTCAAGTTGCTGATTTGGCGGCTACCGCAAATCTCTTTCAAAATCTTTCAGACCAAGATAATCCATTGAAGGCATCTAGAAATGTAAGGCAGCAGCTGTGTTTCGCAGAATAACGTAGGAAAGTATTCGCTGTCACATATTTAGATACGCACTAAAACTTCTTATTCTCTATGAATGTTAAGATTTGAATAACAAAACGTTCTTTTTTAATGAAATTCGAAGACTTTGGTATTATGATTCCTTCGTTTGGTATTACATGAGATAAGACCATAAGAATTTACATGCATCCTTACCTACTTTATTTTCTAACATTTTTCTGTCTGATAATGGATTTAAGTGCGATTTCACTTAAATTTTACCAGACAGCAAAAAGGCCATTTTTAAATCCTGAATTCCATATATCTGGTTTTTTCTTCATTAACTTCTCAGTTTTGCCTTAATCCTGGATTTACTAAATCCTGCTGTTGGCAGGATCTAGTATGTCTGGATTTACAAGATTTATTAAAGCAGTTAACGCTGTAACGAAACAGCCTCTGAGTTTCATTTTATGCTTATAGCAAGCAGATGCTCTGGCTGCCAAGGCCAAACTTCTCCTGAGGGAACTAAAAACCGCCAAAGCCGACCTAGCTTTTGCCAAGCAAAGATGTGATCAGCTTGTAGAGGAAAACAAACTTCTGAGGGAGAACCGTGAGAAAGGAGACAATACTGAAGATGATGACCTGGTATGCATCCTCTGCTACCCCAGCTTCTTCAAAATTAAACATACATCAGGATTTCATCAATTTTATTTAATTTTAGTTTCTTATGAGTACAGATACGTCTCCAACTTGAGACACTGCTTGCAGAGAAGGGAAGATTGGCACATGAGAACTCAATATACGCCCGGGAGAATCGATTCTTGAGAGAGATTGTGGAGTACCATAATCATACAATGCAGGATGTTGTGCACCTAGATGATGGTATCAGCCATATTGCCGATGATAGAACTACACAGATTTCGTCGCTGTTCTCCTCGTCTGGCTCTGCATCTGAGGTGATCTCACCAGCCTTATCAAGCCCACGAACTCCGCCGGATTCTATGAATTTATTGAACAACAATGATGAGCCAGATTTCTCATCGCCTGCTGCCGCTGCTCCTCGAGAAAATGTGAATGAAGAATGCTCAAAATCACCCCCAAAGTCTGTAGCCCAAGGGGTAAGCTTTTTTCATCCCAGCATGAGCTGAATTTTGAAAGGGCGAACTAATGAGGGCCTGTTTGTGTTTGTGTATAGTAATATTTCTTTATGGAACTATCATAGTTTGGTAGCATTTAATTTCTGATAAGATTTTTTTTTGTGAATATATAATAATTACACTGTTCTTGTTGGCTCTAGGCTCAGGGGACATTATGGCTGTTGTATTTATGGCCTTATTGTAAGTAGAGGTAATATAGTCTTTTGGTTTTATTTACTTATATGTCATAATGTCTCTACATAAAAGGGACTTGGGATTCATGAGATAGTAGTAGTGAGAAATGTAGAAGTTGTAACTCCAAATCATTACTTTCTCCCATCCATGGTCTCCCTCCCCGTGGATGTTAGGCTAATCAACTCAATGTCGAATCATGTAAATCTTTTGTGTTTGATTATTGTTGTGTGAATTTATTTGATTAAGCATTGCTTTTGCATAACAATTGGTATTAGAAAATCGGGTTCATGATCAAAGCGTGGTTCGGTCTCAACAACAACAAATCTGGCATGTGTTGTTGGTGTTTTTTGTAGCAGGTGGTCCGACGTGCTTTGCCGGCAAATTCAGAGGTTTGACAACAGACTGACGGTAGGCTGACGACTTGAACTTGAAAATCTAGTGTGTAGGCAAAGGTGCGGCTCAAGGAGGATGTCTGTGGAGCTTTGTTCTGATAGTGGTTCCCATGACAGACCGATGACGGTTTCAGTGGCGGCTATGGTGGTAGTTTTGGTGAGGTCCGCACAGTCACGCGAAATTTTTTGTGGAAGAGGAGAAAAAGGAAGCTTGGTGTGGAACTAGGGAAATAGAATTTCTTTGGAATCATGAAAAAATGAAAAGGAAATTATTTTTGGGGGAGACGAGGATTTCAAGAAAAATTGGGAAAAAAAGAAGAAAGTCTTAAAAATGAATTAAAAAAAAGAAAAGAATTAAAAAAAAGAAAAGGAATTTAATTTAAAAAAAAAAAGGAAAGAAATTTCGAAAAAAGTGAGAAAGAAAAGGAAAAACAAGAAAAGAGAATTTCAGAAAAAGGGAAATTTTTATTTCTGAAATATATTTCTCTTTTCTAGTGTTTTTTTTTTCTATTCTTCTCTTATTCTAAAGTTTACAAAGTAAGCAGGATGGAATATACTAGGGAATATTTTATTCTACTAGAGAAATATTTTTTTAGATAGTCGAAACAATGAATAATAGCACATTGTGGGGCTCTTCAACAATTACTATGGCGGTGAAAAAGCAAATCAATTAGGTGGTTATATATCTTCTCAAAATCGATGTGTCAAAATTCAATGACAAAGGGAACATTGGTGTGTGGCGATGTGAGGTGATGGATGTGTTGTGTTCTTTGAATATAGAGGAAGTCCTGGATAACAAGAATGCCATGAAAGGATATCAACGAGAGATTGGTTAAAGATGAATCAAATTGTATGTGACTTGGTTCATAATTGCTTGACCCATGAGATCAAATATGAGGTGAGGATAAGGACATCTGTAGGAAAATTATGGAGGTTGTTTGAGAACAAATATCTCACGAAGAGCGTGTAGAACCGTCTCCATATGATGCATCAACTCTACATATTTCAAATGAGACAGGGGGCTACCTTTGATGAGAAATTGCAGGACTTCACTAAGCTTTTTTTGCATATTTATTAAATTTGGATGAGGAGGTTGGAGATGAAGATAAAACACTCATTTTGTTGAATTTGCTACCAAATGAGTATGAAAACTTCACGATGACACTCATTCATGGGAAAAATGTCTTGAATCATAGCGAAATGACTACGATGTTATTGAATCATGAGTTCTATCGAAAGGGACAAGGAGCCCACAAAGATGGAGTCAGTTGAGGCATGTACACTCCAGCATGAAAGATTTGAGAAGAAGAAGAAAAAGTTGACAAAGAAAGGTGGCAGCGGCGGCACTTCTCAAAAGCGGGGCAAGTCTCATGATTACAGTCTTAAGAAAAATCAACATGCTTTCTGTTTGGAGATCGGTTATTGAAAGAAAGATTGTCTGAAGCTGAAGGAGAAGTAAAAGAAAGTTGCATTTGAGGTGAAAGCCAATATTATTGTGGAAAGAAGTGAAGAGGCATATTCAGATGTATCATTATCTGCAGTTTTTCATAGTTTATTAACAGATGATACATGTTGAATTCTGAACATAGGTGCTATCTATCACATTTATGCTCACTTATGATGGTTCTGTATATACACGGAGTTGGATAGCTGTGCAATGACAATGTGCAACGATCAAACTTGCCATATTATTGGGGTAGGGAGTATATTTATCATGATGTGTGATGGTAATGTGAGGGAGCTGAGCGATGTTGAACATGTTCCAAATATCCGAAAGAACATTTTGGTCACTTGGGGCTTTAGAGTACAAGGGCTGCAAGATAGTTATTGAGACAGATTTTCTGAGAATATATCATGAATCAATGGTTTTTATGAGAAGAGTTCATCATCATAGTATTTACTATATTCAATGTAGTACAATGATTGGAATGACTGCGATTGCTAATGATTTTTCTAACTCTACTATATTATGGAATTTGTAGTTAGCTTATGTTGGAGAGGCTTCACTTCAAACTTTGGTAAAATAAGGATTGATCGAAAGAGCAGGCACCTGCAAGCATGATTTCTGTGAACATTGTGTATTTGGCAAGAAGACATTAGTATCTTTTGGTACTGTCATCCACATTATAAAAAATGTTTTAGAGTATATTCACAAAGATGTTTGGGGCCCAAAAAAGACATCATCATTTAGCAGGCGTAGATACTTTGTCTCTTTTATTGATAATTACTCAATATATGTTTGGGTGCACACTATGAAGCATAAAAAGGAGGTGTTGGAGATTTTCATAACTTAGAAGAAGTAGATTGAGACTCAGGCTGGTAAGAAAATCTAATCTATCATATAAGATAATAAGAGCGAATACACATCAAATGCGTTCTTGCAACAATGCAGAGAGCTGAGATAGAGCACAACTTCACTATTTGAGAGACACCACAATAGAACAGAGTGGCAGAGAGAATGAACCAGACTTTAGTGGAGAAATTTTGATGTATGTTATCTAATGTTGGGTTGGATAGAGTGTTTGGGCCACATCCATAGACTATGCTTATCACTTGATGGACTGTCTGCCTTCTACAGCTATTAGGAAGAAGACCCCAAAGGAGATGTGATCAGGACATCTTATTATAGATTATGAGCACCTAAGAATGCTTGAGTTTCCAACTTACTACCACATGCAAAATGATAAAATGGAACAAAGAGCAAAGAAGGTGATCTTCATTAGCTTCAGGCATTGAGTCAAGAGCTTCAAGTTCTATGATCAATTAGAAAGGAAGGTTTTCATTAGTATAGATGTTACATTTGATGAGACAAGCTTATTGAAAATTCAGAACTCAAATAGGTGGAGAGTTCTACTAGGACCACAGATATACATAAAAAGTTGGAGTTTGATGCAACTGCATTTTGATCCCAAGAAAATATAGTTGTGTAAAATTTATAAAACTGACTCCATTTTACAATGGTGCCAAAATCTTGATGTTGTGTTTTATGAATGTTAACGTTAAGCACTTAATGTTTGGATTCTACGCAAGTATACATATAGTTATCAAGTAATATAAGACTTTCTATTTAAGTCTCAAATATCAATCTCACGAGGAATATTTAAATTTGAGATGATAAATTAACTAGAAAATTCACAGAAATACAAAGAAATTGCTGTCACTAATTTTAAATGTTTGAGCTACTATCAAAACTAAATTATTAACTACTAACAAGATTTAAATGTAAAGTTTAAAACAATAATTACTAAACTATGTTCATGTGATGAAGTTTTCTAATATGAAAAAACATCTTTCCCACTACAATGAGTTTTACAATGAGTTTTTGGAAATAATTGGTTTAAATTTGTATTGTGCCAATGGTTTAAATTATTGTGCCAAATATGATCAATTTTAATTCTCTACCCTGATTCAGTGTTATAGAAAATTATTGGTTAATCTTAGGTTTAGTCCCTAAATCTATGGCCAGGCTATGAGGATACTGGCTCCCACTTCAGAGCTCCTACTTCCCTTCCCTTTAAAGCTAACTCTCGCTTTAGTTCTTAAACACTAAGATCGAATTAGGGATTTTAGTTTGTCACCCTAAAAATCTCCAATTCTACACCCAATAATATATATTTCTCTATTTATTTGTACTTAATTCCATGAATAAAATACTACTTCATGGACTTAAATGTGATTTTCACTCTGTTGTAGAACTCATCCTCCATTTCCCGGATCATATGTTTCACAACATATTTTAACAATTCAGTGGGTCAGATCGAAAAGTAAATTAAGAACGGAGTTGAAAAATCATCACAATTTATTTTATATTTTAACATTGACACATCCAAATTATCTCTTCATTTCACCATATCTCAGAGCAGGGAGAAAGATAAAGGAAGCTGCTCAGACTTCATGAGAAAGATACAATAAAACACAAATTTCATATATAAAAGAAAATTCATACAATAATAATAAACAAACAATACTTATCTGAAACTCTTTCTCAAAGCAAATCCCTTGTACCCTCTCTTAGGAAATGTAGGAAGAAGAAATCTCTCACTTCTCTCTCTCTCCAACATTCTTAGAGAAGAATTCACACATAAACTCACCACACAAACTCAAAACTATATAAAAAATAAATGACTAATGGTGTGGATTGGCGTGGAAGGATGTAAAGTGGCACGAAGGGGGCAATGAGATTTTAAGAAAAATCAAGAGCGAGTGGAGGAGTGCGAAGAGAGTCTTTTCTGATCAATTTCGACTCTAAATAGAGCCTGTTTTCCAATAGATGCATCCAAAAACTCTTAAAAAATGTCCAAATTCGTCGAATATTCTAGAAACAGGGTCTGCACCGACACTGGCAAAATTCATGTTCTCTGTCAAACGGCATCGTCTGTGTTGAACAATTTTTTTAAAAACTCTATTTTGACTCCAAATTTCATCCTTCTTTCTCCAAGTCCTAAAAATCAACAATCTGCAATAAAACATAAAAAAATATCTTCCTTTAAAGTGCAATATCACAAAAAATGAGTATAAACTTCTAAAAATGTATTTATTTTTGGTGTATCAAAATCCCTCAAACTTAAATGTTACTTGTCCTCAAGTAACTCTTTTACTACATAAAAATATAACTCATGGCAAAGATTTTAACTTCTAGATTTCTATATTTTAGTCTACTAAATACAATGACATAACTTAAGAAAAATGTAAAATAACTTCAGTTAATACTAAATGTATAAGAATATCTAGCAGTCAAGTCTAAGATTTCTGATTCTCTATTCTTTTCAAGGAAAAT